GTAAATGGCCTGTATTTATATAGCGTTTTACTAGTCCCTAAGGACCCCAAAGCGCTTTACATATCCAGTCATCCACCCATTCACGCACACATTCACACACTGGTGATGGCAAGCTACATTGTAGCCACAGCCACCCTGGGGCGCACTGACAGAGGCGAGGCTGCCGGACACTGGCGCCACCGGGCCCTCTGACCACCACCAGTAGGCAACGGGTGAAGTGTCTTGCCCAAGGACACAACGACCGAGACAACGACCGAGACTGTCCAAGCCGGGGCTCGAACCGGCAACCTTCCGATTACAAGGCGAACTCCCAACTCTTGAGCCACGATCGCCACGAACGATTTACATGCTGTAGTGCCATTTTTGGGACCATTTCAAGTTGCTATACATCAATACAACCGTTATAGCCCAAACGTAAATAATATGTATGCATTAAGTGCATAATAACTACATAAATTGCAAAAAAGTGCAATAAACTACAAACAAATTGAAAATTGTTTTTGTGGGGTTTTTTTTACATATATTTCTAGTTAGAGAAATTTAAGAGGTTTATCCCTCAAAACTGTAAATACAAAAAAGTTGCACAAAATAGTTTCCCACCACAGGAAATTCATTTTGATTGTCTTCATAGTTTTATTTTGAGATACACCAATTTTTATATACTGCAGGAAAAACGAAGAAAAAATATTATAATGCAAATTTACAAAAAAACAGCATGTGCATCAAAATAAACTATTTCCAGCAGTGCAATTTTAGTCCTAAGCATCCCTGAAACTATTCAGGAAAGCATAAAGTCAAACATGACTTTAAAAAACACCAGCATAGGCTTATAAGGCCCCGAAGGTAAACTACATTTTCTGCAAAAATGACGTCACTCCCGGTTTCGGGCAAGTAATGGCAGACATAGTTCGCTCTGACGTCTGTTCCAACGTAGGAAGTGTTATGAACAGCTGATCGGATCGGCAAAGCGTGTTTCTGGAATATAACCGAATAAGAAACCGTGACCTAGGGCAAGCTGATGGCATAACATGTAAGTACAACTCCTCTGGTTTCATATGCAAAAAAATTATTGTGCTAGCTTACGTGGTTGCAGTTCTATAGGGATTTAAAAATAGTTACGCAAAACGGAGCATGCCCACTCCAACCGGTTTTAAAGGGTTAACAGACCTGACAAAGGACCTGAGAGATGCATCTGACCTTTTTAGTTGATCCATTTAACCTAAATGAGATTATCCTAATGGAAGAGTAGCTGTCAAGAAGCCATTCTTATGGAAGGGAAATGGGAATAATGGTCGAACCCAAAACTGGATTGAAAATCAGCAGCAAGGGGTCTTTTTCTAGGAAAATACAGAGAAGGTGTGACTTCAGCCTTTTTCACAATCTCTATGTAGGAATCCTGTGTATTAACAGGTTGAGCAGGTTGCTATTTTGTGAGTCTTTCATATCACTCAGTTGCTTCCCCAGAGATTATGTCATACACAGTTCAACTTCAGCTTGCACAGCAGCTGGTGACATCTTGATATTCATTTGTCAAATAATATTTTTTCCAACAAAATGGTATTGTTTAAATATTTTCACACACAGTTTAGAAATCTGTAAGAAATGGTGAAATGAAAATGAAGTTGTCCCGTTGGGCAGGCCAGTGCGTTTGTGGCATGGACCCAAAAGCAGACACGGAAGAGACAAAACTAAGGTGTAACAAAACGTGAGCTGTTTATTTGGCCAAAAAACGTGAATACAAATCAATGCAGAGCAAACCGGGACGAAAACTAAAACTAAAACCTAGACTGGGAAAAACTAAACTATGACAACTATGACAATAAGACATGATCATGATTCTGAGCAGGTAAATATGAGAAACTATGAGACAAACATGAACATAACCTAAACAGAATCATGAGATTCCTGAAGACATGACATGAAGAAACGAAAACAGACACACCAACACTGAACAGAGGAAGACAGAGGACTTAAATACACAGAAGGGCAATGAGGGAAGTGGAAACACCTGGGGAGACACAGCTGACACAAATGAGCAAGATGCCACGGGGGAAGCAAAACTAAACACACTGAACATGTAAACACAATACTTTCAAAATAAAACAGGAAGCATGGAGACACATGAACTGGGATGCAAGTTGCAAGCCTGACACAAGAGACAGAGAGAGGGAAAGGGACACAGAGGAGAGAGACACAGGGGGAACCTATATAGACAAGGAGATAACACATGACAAACAGAAAAAGACTCATAAACAAGGAGACATAGGTGAAACACAAACAAGACTAAACACAACAAAACTAATAATAACAATACAAGAACTTAACATATTTCAAATATAACATAAGAAATCAAAAATACAAACTAAAGAATCAAAGACAAATATTGACAGATTTTAAGACAGCATTGCCCTCAAATAACCACAGGCTTTGGATGCTGTTGGGGTTGTTGTATTTTTCCTGTCAATAATCTGAGCTTCATTGTGCTTTGCCTTAGTGTGCGCGCCTGTTGGATCAGTCATCCATGTCATCTGCCTCCATCTGAGTTTGGGCTGCCTGTACGCTCGGCTGGACAAACAGCAGCTTGAGAGGAAAGAGAGGCCTGGAAATCCGGCAGGGCGGCTGGAAGCGACTGCATTTTATCAAATTCAGTTGCTGGAATGGTGCCACTTAAGCAGCTCCTAAGATGCAAATGAAAAACAGCGGATGCGCGACGCATGGAAGTTGTAGTTGTTATGCAAATAATGATGGCGAGATGCATGCATAAAGGACACTAAGTAGTAGTGACGGGTTTGCTGTAAATGCTGCTATAAAGAGCATCTGAGGGTGGAAAAGAAATGTGAATGCTGCACATAAATAAACAACCCCAACACCATCATAACAAAGTGCTTTGTTTCCAATAAAACAAAGAAAGTACGCCTTACATGGATCTTAAAATGGTCCCAAAGAAACCCATTACACATCAAATTGCTGCACATAAAGAGGGGATACCTATACAGCTTAAAAAACAGTCAATAAAACTAAATGAATGCCTATTTGCAAATACAGGGGAACCCTTTTAGTGTTTTTTACAGCATTACCACACAAAAAATCCTAAAACACTTGATTACAGTCATGCTTTCTATGCCTCCTCTATCAGCCCCAAATTGCCTGTTCATGCACTTTAAGACCAGAAAGAGGCTCTAACAGACACAAAGATTTTGCTTTTTAGTTTCTTGCAAAACATATGAATTACAACCCCTGCATTCCACATCAAAGACTAATAATGTGGTGGCTGCAGCTGCTCTTGCTCTTGGTCAGCGTACGTCCACATATACAGTTGCTCTCCCTGTCCACATAGTTTATCTAGCAGGCATGACAATAATGAGCACCTCCGCACGATAAAGCTGTCAAGCAACACAGGACACATCCTGTAGTGTGCCACAACCACAACAGCTTTCATCATTCGGCTCTGAGCAAGCACGCTCCTGACATGCTCCCGCGGTGTGAGCACACATTATTCCGCAAACCCGGCTAAAATCCATGCCATTAACCAAGCATTTCTCTCCTCGCAGTCACCCGACACAGAGGCACTATGTCAAATGTCTCTGCCATTGACTGTCCACAGAGAGGTGCAAGTGCTCAGACAAAGAGAGTGATTAATTATTCAAAGAGGCTCACTGCAATCCATTACATCACATGCATTATGAAGCAGCCTGATCTACAGCACCTCTTCAAAATCTATCAGTCTTAAGGATGAGGCTGAAACGCACAGGACACTACCTGCTAGGTAGACAGCAGGACAGGTAAATAAAGGGCTGCAATTAACAGCAGGAATAAAAATGTAATGACCTGCACATAACATGGCATTATTAATTATTTAATTAGTGAAACTTTAAATCTTTACTTTTGCACTTTTATTTTCATACTTTTCTCATTTTAAACTGGTCATCCACTAGGTTATTGAACCATTTTTACCAGCAATAACCTAAGTTTAAATAGGTAATCAATGTTCTGTTGCATGACCCACTTTCAGCTGTTGGACGGATGGTCTCATATTTAACTCCAGAATAAGTGCCCAGTTCACATGTCTGCAAAACCAGCCCATCCCTCCACCACCACGCTTGACTAGCATAAGATGTTTGGTTTTCTCTAAACGCGACGTTGTGCTTTTATAAACGTGCTCACACTGATGCAGAGCTAATCAAGCTAACTTGAAGAACGTGGTGAAATTAGAAACTAAAGATCAAAAAGTTGTCCAAAACAAGCCAAGTAATATGACTATCTGACCCAAAACCTAACTTCAGTGTTTAATGATAATAGTTTTCAAAATGGTGAATGTGAATGTCTGACATTCTCTTAAAAATAACAGTACTGAGAATTTTATCATCTTTTCCAAGTAGGCCTTGAGACAAGACATTTTTCATTTTAAAAATGACCAGAGCTACTCTGCCAATGCTGAACATGAGTATAACCCTCCGTCTCAATTCCAGGCACCTATACTTAGAGTTAAATATATTTCTTGACCCTGGAAGGAAACTCTCAAGATTTGAACCAATAGGGTCTGTGTACTTTATCAGTTGGCTAATGACTACAAAATGACTTGGCTCATCTCTGTCTACCTAGTTTCACGCAAAGCTGTGCATTCAGTGTCAGACAAACACATCATATTTCATGACAACGCAACCTTGACAGAGGTAATAGCTGAGACGAGCTGCAGCTGCCTTTGACAAAGCTTCATGTGTGACAAAAACATAAATCTTCCCTGCAGCCTTGGCACGCTGTGGGATATATTCGCATAGATAAACATCAAGTGATGCTTTGTATCCACTGTACACTTCAGTTTAGTGGTTATATTGTTAGCAGTATCATTTAAGGTGAATCGGATCCCCACATTTGTCACAAGACATACAGATTTACTGGTTTTCCATTTGGAGCCTTGTGTAGATGTGACACAGTAGGTGTGGATTACAGTTCAGTTTAACTGAGCAAATCAATCTAGCCCCTATGCTTGGCACACTCACCTCCATAGTGGTCAGGTTGCATCGATGGGTTCCAGCAAACCAGCCATCAGTGGAGCACTGGTCGATATCAACATCCTGTAGATTAATGTCCACTCGAACCACTCCCCTGCAAGATGGAAGGACATTAAAAGAGATCTATTAGGGTCATTTCTACCTCCATGTTTTTATTCTTGGACTCAACTAGAGCTTTACATGATTTTCTAACATTTCGCGATTTGATTGTTATGGTGAACAGCTGTGGAATTGAAGCACTTTGAAATTGTATCATTCTTTCTTAAGCATATTGTATATCAGAAAAGTTGAGTGTGGAGGTTTGAATGCAAAACAAGGCCATTAGTTCAGGCAGAAAAAGTTCACGACATAAATGTGAAAACCAACACACATGAAAAAAGATCAAGTGCAAAAAAGGAAGCACAACAGACGCTTCCCTGTGACGACGGGACTATTTATACACACAGGTTTGATTGGACAGTAGAACACACGTGGTATAACTAACAAAGGACATGACAGAAAACTCAATCTTCAAATAAATCAGAAAGTAACAGAAAGAAAACAAAGAATCACTGAGGGAACTACTAAAAGAAACAATGAAATGAACCAAAACACAGGATGTAAAACTGAAACTTGGCATTACAAAAAAACACAAGAAACAACAGGAAGCAAATACTCAAAAATGGACACAAAAAATAAAGCTTGTAATCTGCTAGAATAAAGAAATCAAAACAAGAACCGAAACATTCAACAAACACAAAAATCAAAACTTGAAACATTTGGAACAACAATAAAACCTCAAGTCTAAACTCAATTATATTTGCAAGGAAATCAAAACCCGAAAACAACAAAAAGACCACGGAGTAAACAAAGTGTAGTAAAGCCAACTAAAACCCGCTGTTGAAGAAAGTCATTTACCCTTTTGTTGATTTATTGATTGAGTGGTTGATTGATTTGTGTCAGACGGGATTTTTTTGGATGGTTTTCTAAATAGAAGCTTTTCAAATTAAAAGAGTTGAACTGAGGAAGGTAGATAAAGCAAGTACATTATGAGCTGTATGTTATTGTCTGATCTACAAATTTCACTTAAAAGTACAGTAAAGTTACACCAGCGGTCCCCGACCTTTTTAGCGCCACGGACCAGTTTATGTTTGACAATATTTTCATGGACCGGCTTTTAAGGTGTTGCGGATAGATGCAACAAAATAAAACCAGTACCGGTACCAAAAAAAAGGAAGATTTATTCATAACACATGGGAAAAGACCCAGGGAAACTGAGTTAACGATAAGGATTCTAAAGAATAACGCTAAAAAACGATAAAAACCCTGAAAACCATAAATTTCACACGCGAGGATTAACTCTCGCGGCCACTGAGCCGGTACCGGTCCGTGGCCCGTGGGTTGGGGACCGCTGAGTTACACTACCTTAAAATCCTCAACATGTAATTGCACAAACCTGTACTTGGAATCTTAACTGAAATTTTAATAGGTTCTAACATGTTATAAAGCAAAAACAGACATTTGTCTGCCTCATGTCTCATCTCTTCTTCCTAAGAAAGAAATCAGTCTGACAGAGATGCAATTAGCCGTGCACTACATCACAACGAGACACTCTGCAAGAGGCTGGACTCTTTGTTCCGTTTCGACCAGCTGAGCCAGGCAGGACCTTCTAATGGAGCTGTTGAGGATTTAGACTTACTTAGCTTTCTGAAGCTCTGTGAAGAGAAGGTCACTGTATGTGATTTTGAAGGTCAGCCCCTTTGATTCTGACAAATCTTTTCACTGGTGTGGCATATGTCCCTTTCACAAGTGCAGCTCACAGGACAAGCCAACAGACAGTTACATAATGCTGTATACTATATGCGTAACTATACAAGGAAAAAAAACTAAACAAGCTTGACAAAATACTTCAAATCCACAAGAAACTCTAAACTGTCTCTCAGCGACCTCAGCCCACTTACAGGCTTTCTCTCTTGGTAGACTTAAAAATGGAGCACAGCCCGAGGCAAGTGTTGTTAGAAAATCTATACCGACTTTAAACTTTATGGAAGACATGCTCTGGAGAGTTATAGCTCAGTAGGACGAGTGTCATGACACCAAGATAATGTGCACATATGAAAAAAGGTATTTCTCTGATCCAGCATTCAGAGCCTTCAAGTTTCTCACACACAACATTTTACATAAACGCCAGCCGACACAAGAGGAAAAAAACCCGAGTGTTGCCGTGTAGCTTTCGAACAAAATCACCAAATATACACTTTGTTATTTGATCAGGATGAATATAAACACAAACCCTGCTCTGAAGTGAGCGGGCGAATCAGCGCTGTTATCTATTTAATCAGGCAAAACCTGCAGCTGCTTCCCTGCAAATAAATCAGCGGCCGACTTTGCACTGACCTTTAACTCCTTTGATGCCCGTTTGAACACTGACATTCACACTGGGTTTATTTTGTTATAGGATTAACAGGAAACTTTGGTCTCCCAGTTTCCAGGATTTGTGTTTTGCGTTTAAAGGAAAATTAGATTTTAAACTATTGACCCTGACCCTGAACTAGTATGGATATACATCATATACCACCGCATTAATCACCTAAGTCTAAGTTCTCATTGTCATCGAAATACTAACCCTAACCCGTAATCTGACCTTAGGCAATTAAAATATGCAATTTGTATCTTTTTTATACTGACACAACATCATATACAACATTTTTTTTTCCAAAAAAGTCTGTTTTGCCTTTCTCCTGAAACGATGGGATGGTTTGATCAATTGCTCGAATGATGTAGAAAAGTGCTACAAAAGTGTCAAAGTGGTTTCTTTGTCATGGTCCTGCGGCCATGACTCAGTGACTTTGTGTTTGTGTTCTTTATTGTTATTATTTTCATTATTATTCGTGGCTGTTTTGGGATGGTTTGTGTTTTGGGATTTTAGATACTGGGTTCTGGGTTTGTGTTCCCTCTATTGGTCCCTGGTGTTAGTGTTCCCCTGTCTCGTCAGGTTAATCAGGTCCAGCTGTGTCCCCCACCTGTGTGTGATTTCCCAGTGTCTCTCTGTGTACTTATAGTGTGTGTTTTCCTCTGTTCCTCGTCGCGTCGTCTGTGTTCATACTCTGTGAAATCCCCTGCGTGCTCTCCCTGCTGTTCTCCCTTCATGTTCAGGTTTGCTACTCCTTGGTGTAGTTTCTCCCAGTTTAGTTCATCCTTAGTTCTGTTTTGCCATCTCCACTTTATGTTTGGTATTGTTAATAAATCGCCCTCACGTCTAAATAAGTAATGCATTTGAGTCCTCCTTTCCACTCCTCACACGGCCACTGACCCGAACCGTGACAGTACGACGCGACCACAAGATGGACCTGGCAGCATTTAATCCATCTAAGGAGCTACGGGAGGATCTTATTGATGCCACACAGGAGCTAATCGACCTGTGGCTGGAAAACCCGGGTGGCAAGTCCCAGCGCGCTATAGAGAGGCGGCTACAGCGTCTTGTGACCGGTCTCCCATGGCTTCTAGGCTCGCTTTGTCCGTGGGAGCGGGAGTTTCTCCTTTTGGATCTTGGACTTCACCCCCCATCTGCATTCACTTTCGAACAGCCCGATACGGTGAGTGAGCGGGACGCTTTGGCTTCCCCAGATTCCGGGACTTTGTTTTCTGGGGCTATTCAGAGCGGGATGGGAGACAGTATGGGTTGCTTACCTACCTTCGTGGTAACAGATCCTTCCCAAGTGGGCGTCTACAAACCCTCTGCAAAACTGACGGACTGTGTCTCTGCCGCTCCTTCTGAGCCAGGACTTTATCGCCATTCTCCGGCTCAGTTCTGTGAGCAGCCACAAGCTTCCCAGTCTGTAGCTCAACCGTTAGCCTCGCTAAGGGCACAATTACCTGTTCTGCCGCCGCTCCAGTTAGCCACTCAGCCATCACCACCGCTAGCATCGCTACAACCCATAGTTCAGTTAATGGCTGTCACAATTTTCACACTGTTTTTCCACCGCTGTTTCTGAGCAGGGAGAAGAAATGTTTCACAACGGACCTGTTCCTCAAAAGCTGGCAACATTAGTGACCGTTACTCGCTCCGGGGCTTCCCCAGAGGCTGGGTTACAGCCCTCAGCTTACTCTGGACCCCTGGAGGCCGAGATGCCAGCTGTGAACTGCACCGGGCTGTCACTGCCTGAGCAGGGTCAGTGCTCTGCGCAGCTGCGGCCCTCCTTATGTGTGCCAGAGGCCCATGTGCCTACTGGTTTTGTTTCATGTGTGCCAGAGGCCCATGTGCCTACTGGTCTTGTTTCATGTGTGCCAGAGGCCCATGTGCCTACTGGTTTTGTTTCACGTGTGCCAGAGGCCCGCGAGCCTGCTGGTTTTGTTTTTTGTGTGCCAGGGGCCCCGGTGCCCACTGGTTCTGTGGCTGTTTTCGCTGGGGGGCCCGAGGAGCCCGTCCAGCCTCCTGTTTCGCCGGCTGGGGGGCCCGAGGAGCCCGTCCGGCCTCCTGTGTCGCCGGCTGGGGGGCCCGAGGAGCTCGTCCAGCCTCATGCCACGTCGGCTGGGGGGCCCGAGGAGCCCGTCCAGCCTCATGCCACGTCGGTTGGGGGGCCCGAGGAGCCTCACACGGCCACTGACCCGAACCGTGACATTCTTAATGCAAGCCTCATTTGTCTATTAATACACATTCATGCTCAAGTCTCTTTTTTATGCCAAACCACTTTTAGTATTTAGTATATTGCCTAAACAGGGTCCCGTTATACCGGCGGGCCATTATTATAACATTATACTACGGGCTTTGTACACTAAAGGTGACATCATCACACCATGAACTCCAGCTTTACTTTACCTACAGCAAAACGTCAGAGGTTACAAAAATTGAGTGGTGCACAATCAGCCAAAACTTGGCTCATTTGCAAGATCAAGAACATCCACATTAGAGGAGCCAATGTTCAACCACTAACTTTCTGATTAGTAAATGCCTCAATCTTCCTCCTGAGCCACAGTCAAGCCCAGAGTTCATCAGAGAATTAAGACAACTTCCATCCATCCATCCATCTTCATCCGCTTTATCCGAGGCCGGGTCGCGGGGGCAGCAGCCTAAGCAAAGAGGCCCAGACCTCCCTCTCCCCAGCCACCTCCTCC